AATTTGTGTGTTGTGAAAAGTTTACTGTAAGGTTATTCAATTATTGTGATCTTGTGTCTTAATTAAATAACTAAAGGTGCTTTAAAGCCAATAAAAATGCCATTAACACCAGCACAAGTTGCACAAGCAGTAGCATTAATTGACCAAGGGCTGACACAGCGTGAAGTTGCTATTGTGCTTAATGTACCACGGTCCTCAATGCAGTATTCACTGAAACGATACCAGGAGACAGGCCGCTACACCCGCAGGCCAGGCAGTGGGGGCGTAAGGTGCACATCGGCCCGGGACGATCGTTTTATTGTTATGGAGATTTTGAGAAACCGCTACCTGACCGCTGTTGAGATACGCCAGCGGCTCCAAATCGCAAGAGGCGTTAATGTTAGTGAGCGTACGGTGAGAAGACGAATGGAGGAAGTGAGTTTAAAAGATCGTAGACCAGCACGAGGTCCAGAACTTCTCAGACAGCACCGAGTAGCCCGACTTCAGTTCGCAAGAGAACATGTCAATTGGACCCACGAGCAATGGGCTAGAGTGTTGTTCACAGATGAGTGTCGAATAGCTTTACGTGCTCCAGACGGTCGAGAACGAGTGTGGAGAAAAAGAGGAGAGAGGTTTCTACCCATTACCACCACCCAAACTGTGAGTTTCCATGGAGGCTCAATAATGGTATGGGGAGGTGTAAGTTCCGACGCACGTACAGAGTTGGTCATCGTCGATAATCGGCTTACAGCTACTCGATACATCGAGGAAGTTCTTCAGGAGCACGTAATGCCTTATTCGGGATTCATTGGACACGACCAATTCCTCCTCATGCACGATAATGCACGCCCGCACGTCGCACATTGTGTAGAGGAATATCTGGAAGAGGTTGGAATACAAAAATTACAGTGGCCAGCTCGTAGCCCGGACTTAAATCCAATTGAGCATGTATGGGGTATGCTCAAAAGAAAGATAAAGTCCAGCTCCAAACCGCCACAAACTCTAAATGAGCTCCGAAATGCAGCTTGGGACAGCATACCGCAAGTTGATGTCAGAAACATCATTCAAAGCATGCCAGATCTAATGCAAGCGTTTATCTGGGCTAGAGGAGGAAACTCCCGATATTAAAACTGATAGACAATAAAGAAACAGACTTAATTTTTAACTTTGTAGTGTTTTTAAAGTGATAATGGAAAGATGTTAATTTTAGTGAAAACATGTTATCTTGAAAAGAAAAATTTCGGTGAAGTAAACATTAAATTTCTATGTTCTAAAACCATTAGAGACACTTATTGAATGCATCTACCCTTAATTTACTGTTAAAAAAACGTTTCAGTGCAAATAATCAGCAAATTCACGAGTGGCCAAGTTTCCGTGCCGGTGAGTGTACATTCTCTATTCCCTCACTCTCATAGTCTGATGGAACGGTAATCCGACACGACCAGAGCAGGAGAGATAACGGCGCAGGACCAACGGCTGTACGTGCTTGCCGACGCACGGGAGTGAAACATCGCCAACTCAGTCCAGGCTTCTACTGAGAATTTCTTGACAGAAAACACAAGAACTGACCCAATAGAGTCCGGCCCGAGATTCGTACCCTCATTATCAGCAATCACAGTTATGACCTACCAGGCCAATGAGGCAACTACATATTAACAAAGTGAATAAGGTGAAGGGTGCAAGCGATAAGGACGATCTATGTCACATTTGTCTTAATACAAAGGAATGGGGTCCAAAATCAATCGTAATTAGTAACATTCAATACCTAAAATAATTAAATAACATGGGAATACAAAATTTATATCCATTATCCACAATATATAAAATTGGTGTTATGTTACATAAAACCTTCCATCTTAGTCCTCAAGGATTAGTTCCTAATCAAGGATAAATGTAGATATCTATGGGCCACAGCATCCACTTACCATCATGTGGACTGAGTTCTCATTTGCCACCTTTTTTTAAAATACGCCTTGCCCTTCAAACTGTTACATATCAGTGTATTCAGTACTACCACAGAATAAATAATAGCTACTACTTTGTGGCAGAAATGTGGGTTTGTGCGTAAAATGGTGATACCTACACTTAGTGAATCTTGAAAGAATATCTTATTTACGTGATAAAGCTACGTTGCAGCTATATTATGGCAGTAACAAGTGTGTACCTAAAATAGCAGCTTAATGCTGCTGTGTTTCGTACGGAGAGTGTAGAGAACCGGAGAACCTCTTTACTGGAAATGAGGCATTAAATCTTAGTCATCTAGGGTGAGTACACATTTGCATTTAGATTTTCAATTGAGGATAAATGTAGATAACACAGAATTACCATCAAGTGGATCGTGTGCTTGTTTGTCACTCAATTCTATAAAAAAAAAGAAATGGAACCCTGCCTACCTACCGACAAACCAAAGGGAACAAAGAAATAAAACATAAAATTTTTTTTTGTTTATTTGTTATTTATATATATATATATATATATATATATATATATATATATATATATATATATATATTTTTTATATATTTATATAATATGGATTATTATTGTAACTGTATATAAGGCCCGGTATACATTTTGAGAAGTGACAAGTGCGAGTGGCAAGTGCAACTGACAAATGACAAGTGCTTAGTGCGTGTGAACAGGCAGTAAAATTGGCACTAAGCACAACTTTCATTTGTCAGTTGCACTTTTTTTTTTAAAACGTTACCCCTACATTAAGATCTTCTCTTATATTGTGGGGGCAGTTTACAAACATAAATTGCACAAGGACGAACATTCAGACCCAGAACAACTACTTGTAGGCCATACAAATACTTGTTCCGTGTGGGATTCGAACCCGCGACCCCAGCGCAGCCACTCATTGCTAAGCAACTGCACCATGGAGTTGTCACTTGCAGTCGCACTTGTCACTTCTTAAAATGTAAACCAGGCCTCTTATGCCGTGTGGCAGCAGCGTAAGAGAATCCATTGCCCCATTTAGTACTATGAGTTGTGCCAAACAGTACTTAGGGCTTCTGATAGATGGCGGTATAACAATCTTATTAATGCTAGGCGTAAATTATCCATACCGGCGATGGGCGAACCAGCAGTGGACTTTTTCAGGCTAATGAAGATATATTATTTTGCAAGACAATAAAACTAAATTCACTATCTTGGAATTTGCTTGACATTTGTAATATGGTAGGCTGGTAAGACTACTATGAAAGGACATTCTTGCAGTAAATAATATTAGAGCAATATATCTATCAACTGACTTAGGAGATATTGTACACTACAGAATCAAAAATACATGACACCAACCAAAAATACTTGACAACCAGATTGCATGAATTGATTGGCTCCCTGCTTTTTGAAGTTTGTTAAAGAAAGTTGTTGACAAACTACCCAACAGAAAATCTTTTGAGTAAAGAGATTATTTTAAGGCATGCATCTTCGTGTGTAAATAGTAGTATAAAAGTGTGATCAGCAGCCAAGTCTTTGTATTAGAGAAACAAAATAAAGACGGCTTCTAATAAAATTACAATGACATGTAGTATAATTAATAGCTAAAATGGTAAGATCAACTCTCACAAATCAAACTACAAGTTAAGTTTTAACACCAAATTAACTAAATCAGATCAAAACGTTGCAATGGTTTTAAAAAATATTTTACTGATATTCCGATCTTAACTACAAAGTCACTGAATTTTTCTAATGCCGTCTTTGAGTCATTACTTAATCAAAATTTTAATGTGTGTACAAAGAATTTTACATTTCATAAAGTATCTTCAAAAGATGTATACAATATTTAAAAATTATTGATAAGTATTAAGAAAACTGCAGATCTGTGAGGTAACTGTTAAAGTTATTGAGTTTATAATAGATACAATCGCACATCAACTATCTATTATTTTTAATACTAAAATTGAATCTGGTGTGTTTTCTGATTTAATGAAGCATAGTAAAGTAATACTGTTATTTAAATCTAGGAGTACATTGGACTCTGCCAATTCTAGACCAATTTCTGTAGTGCTAACACATAGTAAAAATTATTCTTGATCAAATGTTAAACTCTTTTAATGTGAATAATTCACTAAATCAATTTGGTTGTACAAGGGGTCTCTCGAAAAAAGATGCTGGTGTTGAGCTGATTAGATATATCTTCAATGCATGGGAAAATTCATAGGATGCTTTGGGTATATATTCTGTGATCTATGCAAAGCCTTCAATTGTATTCACCATGAAATTTTAATCAGGAAACTTCAACACTACCGTGTACGAAGTGTTGCTCTTAAATTAATATATATATATAGGATTATAAATGTATGTTTATTTATAATATTTTAACATAATATTATTTGTGATATTATGTGTGTATTTACTTATTTTAAATTATAATCTCTTAAATTTTTCATGTATCGCTACACCTATGCAAAATTCTCACCAGGCCATGAATTAACTGGCATTTAATCCACCCTTTCATATTCTTAATTTAAAAGAATGTACTAAATACTGAAAATAAATAAAATATTTTTATATTTTGCTGTAGGTAGTTCGAATTATGTCCTAAATATACATTATAACATTTCCAGCGTAATAAAGTCAATAAGTAATATTTATATTCGTTAATGATGGTTATTTTATGAATAAGTATCAACTGAAAATACTACCATACTTTTTATATTACGATAGAATATCTGTATTATTATTCATTATTTATAGTCCATATTTTCCTTTTATTGCTTCATTTAATGTTTTAAGTAATTTCGGTATGAGGTCAATATTTTACAAAATTTCCTGACATACATTTTCTCAGTTTGTCTAAAAATCGCGGGTAAAGTTGGACAAAACTATTCTTCATAAGACAAATTTAAACAGGTATATACAGGTAAAAAAAAGGAATAAACAAGTTAGAAATTTCAAATCCTACTCTTAAATACTACTAATTCATAAAGAAACACCTTATTCCAAGAACTGTGTAAACAAAAACAAAACAACTTAGGTATGAACATACCTACTTAAGTTAAAGTTTAAGTACTTACTGTGACATATTCGTATTTACTTTCGCAACAGAGTCGCCAAAGCAAAAAGCAACTTTTTCACAACACAGTCACTAAAAACTATTTGTTTATCATGTATAACATTTATTTAGCACAATAATAGACTTGAACAATAATTACTCTCAGACTAATTTAAGTTTCAAACTTTGAATCCAGTTTCTAAACCACTCTCATCAAGGCATAACACAAAAATGATTGAAATTGACAGTAAACCAATAAAGAAAGAACAAAACCTTTCTGATATTACAGACATGTCCAAACATGTTTGTTTATATTAACCTCCTTGTTACAAATAATAAGTTAAAGTGAGATAGACTGAAAACAACAAGATCGAGGACCAGGAACAAAGCTTAGATTACTGCCTATTAATGTTCCAGGATACAAGAAAAGCTCCTCAGTGCCAAATTATCATAGAGTCTATGTCATAGACGAAATAACGCGTAAAAAGCATAATAAATAATAATAATATGGACTTGAAATGTTATACAAATATGAGGCTTATCTATGTATAATATAGAATACTGCCATCTCTTTTTAACCTTCTTAATCTTGTGTAAGTGAAAAAGAATAATAGTGTTTTTTTTTGTTTTTGACAGCTACTATATGTTTATGGCAACCTTTCACTCTAGCCCTTAGAATTACTCAAAGTATTGTAACAATAGTGGACGCATCCACAAACTAATAAGAGTACTAACGTAGACGCATCTATGATTAAAAACCTAGAGTTCAGACAAAAATTTAAGGAAATTTATGTATTAACTATCACCTCTCCATATACCTCCAATATATTTATGAAAATGTAATGTACGTACACAAAAATAAAATTAGTTTTACAAAAATAAGTTATATTCATTCTGTAAGTACTAGAAACAGACACAGGCTAGTGGTACCAGTAATAGACTTACAACTTACAACAACTTTTCAAAAAATGTACAAACTCTAAGTTTGTATAAAAAGGGTGGTTAATAATAAACCCTGGGAAGGATGATCGCAACCAAGCTATTTATAATTTGTTTTGTGTTGTTAATTGTAACATATACGATTGTAAGCTGTTATTTAAAAAAAGTAGTCCCGCTGGATTTCTTGTTGGTTCTTCCCCGGTCAGAGGTTTTTCCGAACCAGTGGTAAATTAAAAAAAGTGATTTTCAATAAGTATTATTTATAATCTATATTGAAAAAAAAAGTTTCTGTTTCTGGTTTTCAATTTCTCTGCAATATGTATATTAAAGTGGTGCCCATTGTAGGCGAATCTCAGCCATGGTTTGGTCGCTCCTGTAAAATAGCATCAAGCTATAAGCAGGAGTGCTACCAAGCCTGGGCTGACGCATCAACGTCCCGGGATGTAAACACCAGCGCTCTAAAAAAAGGTAATTTCTCAGGTTAAGAGTATTGCCAAGGCAAAGTCAGAGCACATAGGCAGAATTGGCGAGAAACTAGTTCGCCTTCCTTCTGCAATGCGAATTGAAAAGTTCCCGTGCATTCTGGTCTCTCGCCAAGGCTGTCCAGGGGAATTTCTGTCAGCCATCTCTTCCATCTCTGCACAGGGAGGGTGACTCACTGGGCCATACCGCAAAGAAGAAAGCCGATCTGCTAGGCTCTTCCTTTGCGTCCTACTCGACTGTCGATGACGGGGGGAGTACGTCACCGACCATCCCGCGTAAGTGCTCCATGCCGGAGGTGCAGTTCACACAGCGCTCGGTTCGCAAAGCACTATTCTCCCTGGATATCCACAAGTCGAGAGGGCCTGACGGAATCCCCCCAATTGTGCTGAGGACTTGCGCTCCAGAGTTGTCACCGGTCTTAACGTGCCTTTTCCGGTACTCCTACTCCCTAGGCGTAGTCCCAAAATCATCGGCTTTCGTTCAACCGATCCATAAAAAAGGCGATCGTTCAGACCCGTCCAACTACAGACCTATCGCCATCACCACCTTGTTCTCTAAAACAATGGAGTCCATTGTAAACTGCAAGTTCATAAGGTACCTTGAGGATCACCAGCTGATTAGTGATCGCCAATACGATTTTCGTCGTGGTTGATCAGCTGGTGATCTTCTGGTCTACCTAACTTATAGATGGGCGGAGGCAGTAGAGTCCAATTGGCTTTTAGTTTGGATATAGCGAAGCCCCCTATCGGGTCTGGCATAAAGCGTTTCTTTCGAAGCTCCTTTCCTATGGGCTTCCCGAGAAATTGTGCGATCGGGTCACCATCTTTCTTGCAGTTCGGAGCATCAAGGTCATTGTAGACGGAGCAAGCTCGGATTACAAGCCTATTAATGCTGGTGTTCAACAAGGCTGCGTTCTATCGCCAACGTTTTTTCTTCTGCATATCAATTATATGTTGCAAGCCCGCAACATTCATTGCTATGCAGATGACATCACTGGTGATGCTCTGTACACCGGCCGTGCCAATACTTCTCGGGAAAACGTCTCCGAGTACCTGGAAAAACTTGTGTCTGAAATCGAGTCTTTGCTAAACAAAGTCTCGAATTGAGGGCGACTAAATCTAGTCGTTTAACCCTCAGAAGACATAAGTTTGCGCGTTTCAAGACACTCACCTTGTTGCTTCAGCCAGTATCGGAATCGTCGGCGTTGACATATCGAGTGAAGTGCAGTTTCGTGGTCACTTAGAAAAGAAGGCCAAACTGGCCTCTAACAGTTCAGTATTTCATGCCGGCACACCGCCTGCAACTTTACAAGGCGCAGGTTCAGCCGCACATGGAATGCTGTTCTCATCTCTGGGCTGGGGCTCCCCAGTGCCAGCTCCTTCCACTTGACCGTATCCAGCGCAGAGCGGCTCGAATCGTCAACGACGGAGTGCTTTCCGATCGGCTCGATTCACTGGCGCTGCGAAGAGATATTGCATCTCTTTGCATTTTCTTTCGCATATATCACGGGGAGTGCTCTGAGGAATTGTTCGAAATAATCCCAGCCGCCAAATTTCATGAACGCACTACGCGGCAAACGTCCCGATACCATCCACACCATCTGGCGGTTGCCGGTCCACCACTGTACGTTTCACAAAGAGTTTTCTTCCGCGTACGACCTCTATGTGGAATAGTTTACCGCCGGCGATTTTTCCGGACCGATACGACCTGGGGACCTTCAAGAAAAGAGCTTACTCCTTTATAAAGGGCCGGCATCGCACCTGCAATTCCCCTGGTGTTGCGGTTGATCATGGGCGGCGGTAGTCACTTAACATCAGGTGAGCCGCATGCTCGTTGCTCGTAATCCCTCTTCTATAAAAAAAAGTCATTGAAGATGGTAGCCAGGAATAGTTGAGCCGACACACACTGGGTCTTTTGTAGCTTTTTAGAGAGCTACATAGCAATATACCCCATATTGCCAAAGTTGCCATGCTTGACAAATAGATTGGCAAACGTAGTTAGATATAAACATATTAGATAAAAATAAAGTAGATAGATATAACGTCACCCTGTCTTACACCTCTCTGTAGTTGGATAGATACTCTGATTCTATACTCGGATAGTCATCGTAGCATAACGTAACACTTCAGCACTTGATATACCGACAGTCCACTTGGCACCGCTGAAGGGACTGTAGTACCACCCAAGTTTTGACGGCATCAAAGGCTTTCTTATAGTTCAAATACGCCAAGCAAAGTGGCAGATTGTACATTTCGGACTTCTGTACAATTTGCCGAAGGGTATGTGTATGTAATCTTTTCGGAAACCGGCTTGTTTGCGAGGCTGGAAGTCGTCGAATCTATGTGCGATACGATTCGCAATGACTCTCGAGAACAGCACGTTGACGCGGCTCAGAAGCGATATCGGTCTGTAGTTCTTTGAGAGAGCATTGTCGCCTTTCTAGAAGAACAAGACCACCTCACTTCTGCTCCACGCTCCGGGAGTAGTACTACCATAGAGGACGGAATTAAAGAGCCTCTGAAGGACTTCAAGTACCGGTTTTCCACCCGCTTTCAGAAGCTCCGCTGTAATACCATCCTAGCCTGGGGATTTGCCATTTTTAAGGTGCTGGAGAGCGTTTCTAACCTCGTTCAGACTGACGTCCGGGATATCATCGGAATAAAGTCGGTTAAGACTTGTTCTTGGATCGCTACTCACATTAGCGTGTGGCTCCAGCGATGACGTGTACAGCTGCCCATAAAACTTCTTAATTTCACTAAAAATTTCAGGTGTCCCAGAAACGATGCTGCTACACACGGTCTTCAGTTTCGACAGTTGCCTCTTTCTGACAGACAGATCCCTGGCAAAGACTTTGGAGCCTTGGTTCTGCTAGATCGCTTCTTCAATAAGAGCTGTACTGAAGTTGCGTAAGTCCCGCCGCATGTATTTGGAGATCTGTCTGTTCACTTGTCTGTATGCTGCCGAATCTGCTGAAGACTGCAGCTTCATTTCCCGTCTAACAGCCATGAGATTAAGAGTGTGATCGGAGAGTTTTCGTGTTCTTCTGAGGCGGGTCTTGCAGAACTTAGCTCCGACCGCATGGACAATTTCCATGAGCTTGTCATTAATATCGTCCACTGCATTGAAATCTTCTAGGCACTGAAATCGGTTTTGTCTCTCGAGCTGAAAGTTTTCGGTATTTTGGATTAGAGCACGAGGGGGACGGAGCATTGACTTCATTAGACGAGACCTCTCCAACTCAACGTTTAGGTTCAGTGCGCCTCTAACCATTCGGTGATCACTGCCTTTTTTCACCCTCGCGATCACTGAGACATCACTGAACAGTTGGCGTGTTGTCGTCATAATGAAGTCAATCTCATTTTTGTTGAACCGTCGGGGCTCGATCAGGTCCACAGCTGCTAGCCCCTTGGGTTCTGTTATCCTATTCCAAAATTTCTTAACTTCAGCTAAATGTTTTCTTTTGTGCCTAGTTTTGCGTTGAAGTCTCCCATCAACACCGTATAGTGGGTTTTGGAAGAATGCATGGCTCTAGAGATATCCTCATACATTTCCTCCACCTCCTCATTGAGATGTGCCGAGGTTGGTGCGTAAACCTGTATGACCTTCAGCGAATACCGTTTAATGATTCTATGTATCAGGTACGTGACCCTCGTCGACAGACTCTCAATTTTTACAACGTTGTTGACGAGAGACTTGTGGACGATAAATCCGTCACCTCCTTGGGACAGATGGTCACCCTCCCGGTGATAGAAAAAGTTGCCGGATTCGGCAACTTCAGCAAGGGTTACCATCTCCTCCCCTCTCTTCGGACCTCGGATGATCCTATTATATGCCAGCGAGACAACTACCTCTTCTTTCAGCTCCAGTATCTTCTCATCAGTCCTCCGGGTGCGTGCGTTATATGTTGTCAGGTCGAGTCGTTTAGGTTTCGGTGCCAACCGAACCTCCACCGGATATTCTTAGCACCCCCTGCCCCGCCGTTACCATGGCGCCACCGTTGTAAGGAATAGCGGGCCACCGGGGACTGGGGGCCGTTTGCTTGTGTCATTCCTCATGGGGGGATATTTGCCATAGTTGCCACGCTTGGTGAGCGGGTTGGTAACCGCAGTTTTTTTATTATTAAGAAACATTTATTAGTTTATTTTTTTTTTTATAGAAGAGGGAGCAAACGAGCATGCGGCTCACCTGATGTTAAGTGACTACCGCCGCCCATGATCTACGATCGCCCATGATGAATTGCAGGTGCGTTGCCGGCCCTTTAGAAAGGAGTAAGCTATTTTCTTGAAGGTCCAGGTCATATTGGTCTGGAAAAATCGCCGGTGATAAACTATTCCACAGAGAGGTCGTACGCGGATGAAAACTCCTTGTGAAACATACAGTGGTGGACCGCCAAGCATTCAGATGTTGTGGATGGTATCGGGACGTTTGCCGCGTAGTGTGTTCACGAAATTTGGCGGCTGGGATTAATCTGAACAATTCCTCAGAACACTCCCCATGGTATATGCGAAAGAAAATGCAAAGAGATGCAACATCTTTTCGCAGCGCCAGGGAATCGAGCCGATCGGAAAGTACTCGGTCGTCGACGATTCGAGCCGCGCTGCGCTGGATACGGTCAAGTGGAAGGAGCTGATACTGGGGAGCTCCAGCCCAGAGATGGGAACAGCATTCCATGTGCGGCTGAACCTGCGCCTTGTAAAGTTGCAGGTGGTGTGCCGGCATGAAATACTGTCCCGCTCTGCTGAGCACGCCAAGCTTTTTAGAGGCCAATTTGGCCTCTAAAAAGCTTGGCGTGCTATTCCTACCACGAAATTGCACGTCACTCCAATCCGAGACTCTATTCAGCCCCCAATCCGAGACTCTGTTCAGCAAAGACTCGACTTCAGACACAAGTTTGTCCCGGTACTCGGAGACTTTTCCCAGGAAATATTGGCACGGCCAGTGTACAGAGCATCACCAGTGCTGTCATCTGCATAAAATGCAATGAATGTTACCGGTCTGCAACATATCATCGATATGCAGAAGAAACAGCGTTGGTGATAGCACGCAGCTTTGTGGATCACCAGCATTAATAGGCTTGTAATCGGAGCTTGGCCCGTCTACAACTACTATTAGTTCATTTATTAAGAAACATTTATCTAATTTAAAACCCGCGTCAATAAAACAAACTTTTGTGGTAAAAATCCACGTACAGTGCTAAGTGTAACATGAAAAAGTGTAATGTAAATAATGAAAAATGTTTGAATTGTGAAATAGTAACAAAGAAGAATCATAAATGGACTAGTAGTAATATTTAAAAACAAACCGTTGTAATATTTAACTTAACAGCGCCATCTTCTAAATCAGGAGCATTTGTTTCGTATGGTGAGTGTAGAGAACCGGAGACCCCTTTTACTGGAAATGATGGAATGAGGAAATGATGTATTCCGTCTAAGTCCTCACGGGTGACAACGCATCTGCATTTTGATTCGTAATCGAGGATAGATGTAGATGTCTATGGGCCACAGAAACCACTTACCATCAGGTGGACTGTGTGCTCGTTTGTCACCCTATCCTATATAAAAAAGATCAAACATTATGTGTGTGTTATTTTAAAAAGTTTTACACTATTTACTTTTACGCATTTCATTTTATGAAATTGAATTTTAAAATAACAATTTTGACAACCTGGCGCCTAGTAAGTGGTTTCCCTCCTGGGTGATTGTATATCTAGCCTCTGAGAATAACCGCTCACGGGGTACCGAAGTTGCCACGACAGGCAAATAGATCTTAGCTAGGCTATGAAGCCCGGGAAATATCTCTTTTATGTCAACCCACATCTCCTACGCATCTCCTTTTATAGGAGTAACAGGTGATTACAAGAATATATGAAATTTTGAAAAAAAAAGTTGTGTTGCGTTAATTCTTTATGATAGTTCTATATGCCACAGTCAGTATTATCGCCTTTTCCGAATACATCTACGAAACTCTTTAAGTATTAAACCAAAGGGGACGGCATCGCAATGCATACCCCTCTGCTCTGTAAAAGTTACGAGAGTTCGACTCATAGCCGTTATATAAAACTGAATGCTCTGCGACGTGCACCATTACGTAAGTGATCATAGAGTAGAGTAATATATACAGCAAGTGTTCGTGCCAGTCAATTGAGCTCCGACAAAAATGCCGATTTGCAGTGTATTTTCATGCAAAAAACAATCAAAATTGCCAAATCTACAAAAGGACAACGTGACTTTTCATGTGTGAATACTTTTAATCTAATATTATCGTTAAAACTAGTATTTTCTGAATATTTTCGTAAAATACCAAGTGCTGCCAGCATAGTTCATGAAGTATAAAATAAGCGATTTAAAAATAAATATATTTTACTACACAAAATAAATATATTAAACAAAATTTATTTCATATCAACTAAATCATTTTGTAATGAATAAAAATCATTACATTAAGATGTGTAGTGGATTTTGTCAAATGATTTAAATATTCAGCTTAATTCCAACACGATTCTGAATATATTATAATTTAATATAATCGATAACTATTCTTTATAATATACTATACAAAATGAAGGCCGAATAAGTTGAATCGAAACTTGCCACTTCGTAGCAATTGTTTGTAATTTTTGTAAAATTAAACTGGTATCACTGCAACCACCCTACTAGTCTGTTTCTCTGTCTACGAGTCTGTGACTGCAACCGAAAGTACTGCAATGTAGTGATGTACGCAACAACTTTAGCTATCGATAAGTTAATTAACCCATTCGGGTTTGTCTGCCGAATAGGTTTTTATTTTTTGTTTAGATTTTATAATAAAGTATTACAAAAGTAGTAAATTTTTATTATTGGTTTAAAATAATAATAATTAAAAATAGTTTATTCAGTAAATGATCATACACAAATTATAACTGGGATGAGGTCTCCTATTAAGTATAAAAACTTGTGTTAGGTGACTCCATTCTTCCATAGCACTTACATTACTATTTGCATGATCTTTACATAATAATTAAATATAAAAATTAAAATAATGACTAATAGTATTCACGCCAAAGGTATATATATGGTATTACATGCGTGTGTGTGTGTGTGTGTGTGTGTGTGTGTGTGTGTGTGTGTGTGTGTGTGTGTGTGTGGGTGTGTGTGTGTGTATGAGTGAGTGGGTGTATGTGAATGAGTGAGTGAGTGAGTGCGAGCAAACCTACGTGTGTGTGTTTGTATTTGTGTGTGTTATAAATAAATTACTTTATTTCGTATTGCTTTAAAGAGACAAAGTATCATCATAGCTCTTGTAAAATAGCCATTCGGTTAGAACATATTTGCAATTATGGTAGTTAAGGTGAGAATTTATATGCCTTTGTTAATAGCGTTGTATAGAGCCGCTGACTGTTTTACATATTGCCTCCCAGCTAAAATAGTTTCAACAGCGACAGCTGCATCCACTACGTTTTTCCTTCTTTTGGCTACAATACAACAGTTAACGTTACAACAGTTAACAGTTAGGCCCATACCGCAAAGGAGAAAGCCGGTCTTCTAGGCTCTTTCTTTGCGTCCAACTCGACTCTCGATGACGGGGGGAGTACGCCGCCGACCATCCCGCGGTGTGAGTGCTCCATGCCGGATCACGGACCATATCATCACTGAAATAGGATGCTTGAGACGTTCCACAACGCAGTCTTTATTGAATTTTTCATGCGTTCTTCACCGAACAAACTCAGTTTTATCCTGAAGTATGTGTATTGACGACTCGTCCGAGAAACAGATCTGCAAGATATTGTTTATATTTAAATTTATAAAGAAACGAACTATAAATGTGTATTAGGGATATCCAACCCTGCTTCAGTCATCCTGTGTCCAGTGTCGATGCTCCTTGGCCCAGGCCAGACGTTTGAGCTTCATGGCAGGAGTAAGTTTTGGTTTTTTCTGTAGTCGATAACATTTTAGTCCCATCTCTACAAATCTTCGCCGGAGAGTCCGGTCCGATACTTGAACACCGTTATCATTCAGAATTTTTTATAATGATTCTTGGCTTTCTGCGGTTTTCAAGTGTACTGCGACGTATTACAAGGTCAGTTCGAGATGTTGTAATGCGTTTTCGACCACATTTACCGACTCGATCCGCCTTGATGGGTACTTCAGCGCCCAGTTTTTCAATGATATTACGCACACTGGACTATGATAGATCAAACAAATCGGCTATATGACGCTGGCTATATTGACAATGCTGCCTTTTTCTTGGTGTGAGATCAGCACACTTATCTGTTAAATACACATTTTTAGGTTAGGTTCGTTAACACCTCAAAAAATTGTATACGAACAAAAACATAACAATAATGTATTGATGAAATATTGGAATTATCCTAAATGTAAAAATATCTAACATTTACCGAATACGTGAGTCGAAAACACTGAATTCAAGACTTATAACGAATACTTCTCACAGGCCAGCACGGAACAATTTTAACATGCACTGACATTAGCGACCGCCATTTTGAAAAAATACAAATAATGGCTAAATGAAAGGCTTGCCAGAATAGTAGCTATGCAGTAAATTAAGAAACTAATAACATTTTTGCAATAATTAGTTAATTACAGCCGTCAGTTTCACGGATTGTGTGAATTTTTGTTTGAGTATGATAATTTGGTCACCCACTGTATATCTTTCTGATCCTTATCAGAAGATATGCTAGTTAGAGCTTCTTCGATTTCAGAATATCCCATGACAATGGCCTTCATGGTTACAGCTCTATGTGGCCATCGTGTATCGCTAAGATTTTTAAAACATATTATAACTACCTACTTTTTTCTCCGATAATTTTTAGATAAAATTTAGTATCGTTGTATACTTGTTGTAAACACGTATATAAATTCTGAAATAAGTCAAAAAATTTAACTACCAATTCACAAGAATTAGCAGCTGCCTTTCTAACTAAGTTAAGTGAATGACCACAACATACAAACGCTGATAAATGGTTTTTCTGCATAATAAAAGCTTGCATCCCTTTGTATTTGCCACTCATATTTGCAGCATTATCGTACTATTGACCGCGGCAATCAAGGATGATCGATTGTCACGTAAAAGTAGTAGTAAAAGTTTTTCTGTGGTTTTACCAGTATGGCGCAATTCGGAAAGAAATTATATTTCATTTATCTAACAACTATAGTGTTGATTGATATGAGATCGGGAGTAGACTCCACTGAATCCGAATAGTGCTTTGAATTTTTAATCCTTGTTACGATTTAACTGAGCACTTGATCACCCATGGAACTTATCAGTTCTTCGGAAATCGTGGAGGAAACGTAATGAACGTGATCGCTTCCTTCGTTTTCATGATGTTTGAAATGAGTTACCATAGTAATTTCGTACTCAGCTAACAACTCCAAAATACTCAGAAAATTGCTTTTTTCGGTGATCCAATAATTTCAACGTCTCTTTGGAAGGCTATTAATCTTCGTTCAGCGATGAATTTAATTGTACTGACGACAATTCTAAGAGTTTTTCGCCAATACTCAGTTTGTTGTGCCTCTCGTATCGCTAGAGCTCTTGATCGATATGTTGTGTGACTTCTCCCCATTGCACTAAACGCAACAATGACTCCAAATGAATCTTTAAAATCTCATGGTCGTATAGGCGCTCAAATGCATTCTTCCAGTCACTGGAGACTTCTCCGCTTAGCTTTTGAGTGGACATTTATTTACATGCTCATCAAATTATATTTTCAACGTAGTTGGAGAAAAGCAAAGCCAGAATCGATTGACAGTCTCATGATTTTGATTGCGACGTTTAAACATATTTTTTAAACATTTCCTAACAAAGTTTGTATCATCCCGCGACTGATCTTGAAGAACTGAATTCTGCAGAGAGACTTCATCACAATTTTGCAAATTTGTGGGAAGGATATTTTTTTAATCTCTATTGTGGGGACCCCTCTTTTGTCGAGGCTCCAGGGCAATAGCCCCGCCTACCCTTCCCCAAATTCAACCCTTTTCATTCGCGATCTTCGTTTTTATATTTTTTTCTTTTTCGCAATATGATGATGCGTCACATTGCGAAGTATTTGAGATTTTGACGACAACTCAACCTAGTAGAGCCAAAAAGGCTCAAGGCCGGCCACATACAAACGCAATTCCGTTTTAGGATTCCTTATCTGAATTCCGATTCGGGTAGTCCTACGGTAGTTTTCCGTTCGAAATTTTGCGGGCAAAACGTGATTCCGTAAGTTTATGGCCAACCCGCTTATTCCGTTTTAGAATTCTGAAACGGAATCCTGAAACGAAATTCCGTATGTATGTGGCGGGCCTACTTATTAGTTTGTAGGCAGGCTTAAGGTGCCAAAGCGAACAAAATAACTTAAGATTTATATAAACATCGAAGCTCTTGTTTTAATGTTTCCATTTCATGAACGATTATTATAGGTTAATTTATGCTGAATGAGATATTGGATTTCTCACGTATGTAAATCCTTTAGAAAAAAGACATTTTAAATTAATTACACTAGAAGTTGACTACGTAGACAAGCTAAATAACACTTAATAAAATTTGTAACATATTCTTTATTACTTTTGTTGTATGCTTTAAAAAGTCCATTTCTTTCCTTCATGAGCCAAAATCTCACCATCAAGCATCAAAAGCCTCTAATTCTTTTCTTTGTTCCTATCTTGGTCCTTAGATCCATATGAGATAGTCATTCACAAGATTTTCCTGAATTGAGACTAGGAGGTAATAGGCTATCTAACGCTGCCACCACACTGCTTAAAGTGATAATATCATGGTGTCAATTATGTTTGCGAATATTTTTTACTATCAGTATAAATTAAAAAAAATGTTTCGTGATACTAAATGTTAGTTTGTACATTCATACGTCTCTTTCTTTTCATGTGTAGGCGATTCATCTTCAAAAATCTAGCTAGTAATACTTCTGAGCACTTTGCTTTGATCCCATTGTTTTTCCATGTGCTATTACCACATTGGAGTGGTCCACTATGTTTATCTGATACTGCGCTAAGATTTTCGCTAAAAATCTAATTTTGATTTCAAAAATGCGGTTTTAGGACTATAAAGTATTTTAGAGCTTCATAGGTAGAAATTTTTTTTAAAGGATGTCCAGATAGTTTTCAAAGTTGGTACCAAGAAAGTTCTGACAAACTTCATTTATTTTAAATAAAAAAGTTGTGTCCTTCCCATTGAAGTAATATGTACTTACGTACTAGAACAGCTATCTCAAACAAAAAATGTGCGCTACTCTGTGTTCGCGCGTTTGGTTTTTTTATCATAGAATAAACATAGGTAGAACGACCCGTAGGTAATAGTAGATTGTATTGTTAAATAAGTAAATTATACCGAGAACAATATTGTAATATTGTCATTTATTTTGTGTATTATATTTGTTTATTTAATATAATATTAAATGATATTATATCACAATTACATTTTTATCATATTTAAATATTTTAAAAGGTACCTAAGTCAAATATAAAAAACATACTAAATGTATGTTTAACAAAACTTATTAACATACATAACATAACATATAACATTTAAATTACAAATAATTTATTTAAATTAGAATAAAAGCCGTTCATAAATGCTGGGCACGCGAGAGTTAAAAATGGACGAATTTATACCACTTTGACTTTGATGTGGAAACCTAAAAATAAAATAAAAGAATAATAAGCAGATTTAAACATGAAAAATTTTGCCAAATTATAATAACTTATATATGTTTCTACAAAAAATTTATATTCGTCCTATACTTAAGTACCCACAGAAATGTCGCATCTGAACATATTAATTTCATAATCTATATTCTCTGACACGAGATGGCGTCTTAAGAATAATTTTTTTTATTATTAATACATAATACTTTTTATTAAGTATCTTATTAACCGATGAAAAGTAATTCCTTGGTTTTTACTGACATTTCTTGAATTATTTGTGCAATATCTAAGTACATACGACGGCACATTTTTTATCAAGAGATTTTTTTTAAATCAACACAACACGTGACACATCTACAAGCGCCTAGCGAGTGACTGACATAGATAAATAAATATGTAGCAAGCTAGTGACTGATTAAAGTGCGGTGTATGCACCGCAGTTGAGTGGAACAGAGTAGCTGAGTGCAGTGTCGCCTCTAGTACGTAGTACATAATAGCTCAATGGTCCTTCGTTCATTTTGGTATTTACGGGCCTACGAAAATTTCTTCTTTAGATTCAGTGTAACAAATTCGCGGAAATTGGGTTTTTAATATAATCAAAGCCTTCTCCGGCTTTTGTCATTACTTTTGAAATGAATTTGTGTAAAATAAAATTAAGCAGTCGTTATCTTTATTTCCTTTTTATTCTCAGTAATAACTCGTAGTTATATAGAGAGTTGCCGGTGTTTCACCCCGTGCGTGTAAAGAAACCGAATCTTTGCTCTGTGCTAGAAGTGTCAAATCCAAGATGTTGTTTTTTTTTTCAATTTGAATTACTGTGTGAAGGCTTTAGAATACACATTTAGTTTGAAATAAATAATTTGTTTTAGAAAGCATGTAAAGCAGTTGGACCTGCGCCTAATCTCTACTAATAATGACACCTGCCTGCCACTTGACCATATTTTTGAAGAATATGAAATATATTTAGAATAGAAAATCTACAAAAAACGAAGATCCCGAAGGAAATGTAGACATAGCTTAAAAGACAAGCATCTAAGGCAAAAATCTTAATAAAAAAAACTAAATAATCAATATTTGTTGTGATAAATAAAATCAGATATTCAGATTTCCAGAGAAGAAAGTAATGTATTGTGTTAACACCTCTCGAAGAATAGGTACTACAGAAAGAGACACGGTTATTCCATTTACTTTATTATTTTATTTACTAATGACTGTGACTGAGAGACTTTTGTAAAAACGCTTGTTTTTTAAACATTTAAGGAGTAGGTAAGCTTATGGAGTCAGTAGAAGAAAATAGTTCCACAAATTTAGCAGACATGCCACCTGTAGAACGAACTTCTGAAACATCGCACCTTGTACCACCAAATTCAACATCGCCACCTAGCTATTTGAATTTAGCTAGCAACTTATGTGCACTGTTGTTCATTTCCATCATAATCTATTGCTGTTTTGGAGATGGCGTTTCTTTATTTTCATTTCACCCTAGCCTGATGTCATTAGGGGTAAGTTAAATGTATATTGTGTTCCTTTTATGTATGTATACAATAATGTATAATAATAGATTTTGCTTGGTAAGTTTAATTAGTAACAATTAGTAATAACAATTATACCTTTAAAAACTTACTATAATTTTAACTTATAATAATAATAATAAATAACGTTTATTAGCAACCAAATATGTCTAAATACAAAGGAGCTCTGTCTCCTGAACTAGGTTATCACCTGTATCTCAGGAAACAGTGCCTTCCCTAATTCTTAGTTCTAGGTCTATATTTGGCAAGTACATAAGACAATTTATTATTCTTTAATATTAATTTATAGCCGTTACTGTTACATACTGTAATGTGTTGTTTATTGTTGTTGTGTGTGTGTGCGGAAGTGTGGGCGCGTGTGTGTGCTTGTGTGTGTGTGTGTGTGTGTGTGTGATTGTGTCTGTGCGTGTTTTAATGATTGTATTTTATTTAGATATTGTAAGAAGATTTTCAGTTTGGACATAGTCAAGATTTTGCAACCATTTCAATACATATTTTTTAAATCTATTGGTGCTTAGAGTTATAAGTTATGGGAATTTTAATATTTTATAAGTGGGGGTGTCTCTCGCAGTTACACGGTGGTATCTCAGGAGAGCTTGAATTATAAACAACTTGCGAACTGAGAGTACCTCAGTCTCGTTGTAGACTTTATTAGTAGGATGTCGGTACGGTAGGTGCATTAGTACTTTTAAAATTGCTCTTTGTGCGCATTCAAGTTGAATTATTGTTGTTTTTGGTGCGCTACCCCATGTCGTCACACAATAAATAATGATACTTTGGCAGAGCGCTTTATAAGTCTGAATAAGAATTTTTTTACTAGCGACTGTTCTTAGTTGTCTAAATATATATATAAGTCTTCTAACCCGAGAACAGATGCTAATGATTTGTTCTTTCCAGCTCAAATTATCATCTACTTGAATACCTAGGTATCTAATACATCTGGCTCTAGTTAATGTGCTGCAATTGCATTGGCTAGTAAGCTTTCCATTCTTCTTCTTCTTCTTTCTTTTGTGGCGGTTTGATAAAATTCGCCAATGACGTATTGAGTAGAAAATGAAAGCTTATGAGTTTAATTAAAATAAGAGTCTGTGATAATACAAGGATTCAGTTTTCCTCCGAGAATTTTGACAAATCTATTTGTTGAATTACCTAGAACAAATATGACAAACACAGGTGTTAGACTCTTACCCATATGTTAAAAGTGACAAGGATTTAAAGTTTCATATTATTAGTATTAATAAAATCACATAAAATATACACAAAAGGAGTACTGGTATATGTTAAAAGAGAATTAAAATCTATAGGTCGAGGAATATAAGGAGGAAGGTAATCATAAAGGGAGGAGGATAATTTGGGACAGTTGAAAAAAATATGGTTTGTGGAACCTTCATCTAAGCCACATTCACACAATGAGCTATCCCTTACTCTGATTTTTGCCAGATGTGCATGTGTACAAGCATGTCCAATTCTTAATCTACAAATGATTGAAGTTGCATGTTTATTTGCTTTGTTAAATTTAAAGAACCAAGGCTTGGGAGGAATAATCTCTTGGATGGCAGCATAGTGCTTACCTTTAACATTTCTGGAACCTTCCCATAATTTATTCCAATTTTCATTCAGTTTCCTTTTAGCTAGCAAAATTAGGTCATGTGAGTAAATTAAATTTTGTAGAATGCCATTAGCAATTGCATTTTTAGCGAGTACATCAGCTGTTTCGTTACCATGGATACCACTGTGGCCTGGAATCCAGGCCACTGAAACATGGATTCCTTTAAGATGGCATCTGAATAGGGTATTTTTTATTTTAAGAATTAGTGGAAACTTATGTTTGTTATGGAATTGATTGGACAAAATAGCTAACAAACAACTTTTTGAATCTGTGAAAATAACTGTTTTATTAAGATTATGTGACTCTACATATAACAAAGCTTCACTGATTGCAGTTGCTTCACCGGTAAAAGTGGAGGATAGTGAGGGGCATTTAAAGTTGAGAATGATTTTGAACTTAGGAATCCAAACAGCAGCTCCAGTATAGTCTTCATCAGAATGTTTTGAAGCGTCTGTGTACATGACAAGCCAATCTTTAAAGGTGTTTTCTATAATTTCTTTTAATTTAAAATTTGCCATTGGAGAATCCTTTTCTATACCTAGATCTAGATGAATGTCGGGTTGGTAAACAATAGCCTCGTAAGGAACATCAAAGAGTGGATTTATTTTACATTGAAAGATTGGGTAAGGAAGCTGAAGAAAAATTACAAAACTTTTAAACAAGCAGGGAGAGTCCTTATGGGTCCAGTATCGGTCAGATGAGATATACTCTGAAAGAAGGTGCAATTTAGGGATTAGGGGATGATCTGAAAGTTGGCAGATCTTAAATAAGAATCTGTCTGAAAGGTATTGCCTTCTTAATCTTAAAGGAGGATCTACGCACTCAACCTGAAGAACATTTATTGGTGAGGATTTCATTGCCCCTGTAATAATGCGAAGGCATTTCGATTGAATTTTGTCCATTACTTTAAGGGATGATTTATTGCAAGGCTCCAACAGAAAACATCCATAGTCAAGGTGGCTTCGTATTAAAGCATTGTACAGTAATTTCTGAGAAAAAGGATGGGACCCCCACCAAACACCTGACAAAGACCGAAGAATATTTATGTTTTTTTACGCATTTTTGTGTTATATATTCAATGTATGGACCGAAGGCCAATTTCGAATCAAGGATAACTCCCAAAAATTTAACATTGCCTCTAACTGGAATAGGTTGCTTATCATATACAACAGATATATCGGGAACTCGCCTTTGGCGGGAAAAGATCACCACACTACTCTTGGCCACAGATAAAGAGAGGCCATGATTAGTTAACCATTCTTGTAAATAATCCATGGATGAGTTTAGATGGGAACATGCCACTGTGAAGTTGTTTGAGGAGATGTATAGAGCTAAATCGTCTGCATATTGAAGAACATTACAAAAAGAATTTACTGAAAGTTCTAAATCGTGAGTATATATAGAATAAAGGAGAGGACTAAGAACTGAGCCTTGTGGAAGTCCTTTCCATATAGTTTTTGGGGGAAGCAGGAGATTTTTAACATTTATAGATATTGATCTAGAAGAGAGAAAGTTAGAGACGTAATTGACTATCCTCACTGGAATGCTCAGATTAAGCATTTTCTGCCTGAGCACAGGAAGAAGCACATTATCATATGCAGAAGAAATATCCAAGAAAACTCCTATGGGAAATTCATGTTTTGAAAAGGCAATATGAATATCTGTGACCAAGGTACTTAGGCTATCCATGGTACTTAAACCTTTTCGGAAACCGAATTGGCTTTTAGGTAAGAGATTATTCCTTTCCAAAAACCACTCCAAGCGATTTTTTATTAAATGTTCCAAGATTTTTGCCAAAGTACAAGAAAGGGCAATAGGTCGGTAACTGGAAGGGTCATTGCTAGACTTACCTGGTTTGAGAATGGGCAAAATAATTTGGGTTTTCCATTCAGCAGGAGGATCACCAGTAATATAAATAAAATTTAAAATGGATAGTAAGACAGTTTTAGTGTTCTCACTACTATTAATTATAAACGAATAAGGAATCCCATCAATACCTGGTGAGGAGTCTTTAAGGTCATTGAGTACAGTAAACAATTCCTGAGAAGAAAAGGGGGAATCAAATTTATCATTTGTTTTTAAAAAAGCAGAATTAAAAACTAGGCATTCATCATAAGATGGGACTGTTTGTGGTGCAAGTTTATTAGAGAATTCATCTATCCACAGGGAAGGATCATTAGAAATTATATTTTCACTAGAAACTGCACAGCGATATTTTTTAACATTTCTCCAGACCAAAGATGGGGGAGTCCTAGGTGACAGTGACTCACAGAATTTAAACCAACCAGTTCGCTTTTTGTCTGACAGTAATTTTAAGGTTTCTGCAGCAATTTTTTTATAGGAGATATAATTCTCTGCAGTCATAGAACGGGAGTATATTAATTCAGCCTCTTTTCTTCTCCTACAAGCTGCTGAACAATCTTGGTCGCCACCAAGGAGGGGAAGGATAATTATTTTTGAAAGGTTTTTTTTAAGGGGATTGACTTATTAGCAGCAGAAATAATTGCATTTCTGAACTCTATATATACAGTAGCAATATTATCATTGTTAATTGGGGGAAGAGTTGAAACCTCTTGTTCCAAAACTTTAGAATATAATTGCCAATTAGCTTTGGATAGATTATACTTTAGTCTTGGGCAAAATGTAAAATTTATTCAAGGTGAAGTAGGAGGAGTGATGAATATAGGAAAATGGTCACTGCCATAGCTAGAAGGTAATATTTGCCACAAAAGAAGGGAAGCAATATCTGGAGAGCAGAGAGTTAGGTCAACGGCACTTCTAACATTTTGTAATGGGGATACTCGACGGGTAGGAGACCCGTCATTTAGAATACAGAGATTAAAATTATCAGTAAGATCTAAAAATAAGGGAGCCAGTGAATCACACAGATGGGAGCCCCAAACAGTATGATGCATATTAAAATCTCCCAAAATAACCATAGGAGGTGACAGAGAAGAGATAAGTGTAGCAAGTTCTGTTAAAACATTTACATCAGGATTAGGAATGTAAACAGAGAGAATAGAGACATCAAGGGCCTTAATAGCAACAGCATTTACTGCTGGACTATGAGAAGGGAGAGGAATTTGTGAAAATGTAACTGTTCTTGAAATTAAAATAGAGGTGCCAGCACGACCATCACTCCTATCATCCCGGAGGCATGCGTAGCCTGAAACCCTAAAATGAGATTCAGGCCTAAGCCATGTCTCCTGGATGGCAAGAATGAAGGGATGAAATTTGTTAATGAGGTAAATGAGTTCATTTTTTTTATTTCTAATACTCCGACAATTCCATTGAAGAATTGGCGGGACTGCGAATGTTACGGGCTAAGGAGGAAAGCTGAGTAAGTTTTTGGTGTAAGCTG